ATAATGTCGTTGTCATTCCTAAACATGCGATATGCCGGATCGATGCACAAATCTCTGAGAGGAAGATAAAAGATAAAACGCTATCATGGGAAAATGGAAATACATCTCTTTCTTTCTTTCTCATTTTGCTTATTATAATTAGAGAAACTAAAAACTAAATCTCTTCCTCTCATATTCAATTAAAAGATAATGATAACATTATAAATGATCAATATAAAAAAATGCTTTTTATGTGAATTAATTAAAAAATTAAATAGAAAAAATAAAAACTGTTTCTCAAAGTTTTACATTTAAGTTTAGTTAAAGTCTTTTTTCTCATATCGTGGCCAATTACTCGAATGTATCTAATCAATATCAATGACTGTGCATTTATAGGAAACCATACCACTAATGCAGGAAGCGCGTGCTCCCCCCCCCCCAGATCGATTTCGTGATGATGGGTTTTTAATCCGGAAGTCGATACTTCCGAAAGGAAATACTTTCAAAGGATTCTGTCGACCGTTTCCTACAACGTGCCAACGGAAATTTTAACATCTATGGGACGCATAAGGCTGTTGTTCGGATTGTGATTATAAAACCATGAATGCATTTTCGATAGAAAGCACTAGAAAGTGAATGATGTCATGGGATTATGAAATCGATGACACAAATTACAGATTGCAAATCGTCAACTTGTTACGACATGATGTTGAAACATAAGCAACAAATTATACGAATAAATATTACCATAAAAAAAAATAATAACAATACTAATAAATCAAAGAAATCATCATCATGAATTATGTCAATCTATAGCTACGCTTGATATATATGTATGTTGAAAATAATAATATTTTTTAAAATAAAAATATGCTAAATTTCTTTTTAATTATGATTAAACTTTCATTTTTTAATAATGTACATACAAATCAATAATCAATACTCGCCGCGTCAAGTTATGAACAGACTTGATAATAAAATTCCATCTGTTCCTTTAAGTCTTGCTGCAATAGGGTGTTTCGTTCGCATACCTACGTGTTATTTACGAATATTACAATTATCTCGTAAAACTTTTTACACTTTGGTGTGTTACGGACGATCGCCATCGCAGCCGTTTCTCACGAAGGAAAAAATGCTCTTGCGAGGACGGTTGCTTCACGCAACATAAATTTTACGCATGTAACCGTATATTCTCCGTTTCATCTTTGCAGGTGTTCTTCGTGAAAGTTTTCGCACAATTTATACGTCGCGTATCAATTCTGCTGCATGTTAATTCGCGAACCAATGAACGGATAACGAAATTGAGTCGATATTTGAATTAATTCTTTCATAATTATATCTAGTTAAACTCGATTGTTTCACGATAGAACGAATTAGTATGCATAAATCTTTAAATAATTAACGAAAGCGTATTGAGATAAAAAATTTCAAAATTATAAAATTAAAGATAATTTAAAATTTAAAGGTGAATAAAAAAATTAATTGAGGATTTGATATCTAGAATATGAGGTGTTAATATTAAGGAGAAAAATTTTAGAAATTATTTTTCTAAATAATCACTGTAAGTGTTTATTTTTATAATATTTCAATAACTAATATATACAGAAACTAAAATAACAGAAATAAAAACTGTATAAAAAAAGAGTGAAAAGCAAGAAACACATGACGCATAATTATGTTATATGATACATTTCTCAGGAAATTTCACGGCAGATAACATTGCAGATAACACGCGACATAAAATGTTGCTATAATTTTGCATATAGATATGCCTGCAGATATGCGGGTTATTATAGTAATCTTTTCTTGGATTCTACTCATGAATTTAATTCCCTTTTACACTAGTAAGAATAAATACTTACAGTTGCAAACGTAACTGACACGTAGCAAAATATATATGTGATAGAATCGCGCAGAAATAATCATGCGATATTTATGTTTATTCATGGGCTTGTTTACGAATCTAGATATCAATTTCCTCGTCACGACTTCTTCAATCAAAGTTTCCCACAAAAAGAGACTCTGGAAAATTTATTCATCAGGAGCGTCAATCTTGGGCTATGTTGAATCGTATGACAGCGGAATTTATGTAAATCCCCCTTTTGTCCAGTTGTCTCGTCTCGTGTCACGGCTTCGCGTGAAATCGCCACGAAGCGGAGCAAATCGACATGCATTATTTATCGTTGGGGGTGTTCTATGGGAAACTCTGCGCGCGCGCGCGCGCGAGTTGAAAACGCACGTTCAATATGAAATTTTGTGGGAATTTCTATGTGTTACACGTACTCACATATATTATCGAGCTAACGTGCAACTGTTAATTGGGTCACTTCCGGTTCTCATAGAGAAATCACAGTTCAGTTCTGCTCGGATACATGTGGGCGACAATGAACCAACCGTCTTTCTATATAAAGATTTGTCATAATATTTTACGATAATCTACATCCTTTCAAACATCCGTAAAGGGTATCGTAAAATCTATAATTAAAGAGATCGATGCAAATATAGTGAAAAATTATTTTAAAATTATATAAGAGAATTACATTTATAGTTTCTCCAAATTTTTAAAATACAAAATATATTATTATTAAACGTTTTATTATATAATATATTATTTTATTTTATACTATTTATATTAAACTTTTAATTATAAATATTGCCATCTAACCAATTTATATTTAATTTTAATTATATACTATTTTCTTCAAGAACTATAATTAAATGCTAATATCGCATGATGAAAATTAATTATTACCACAAGAAGCTTTTTGGAATTTTCCGAAATAATTTTGGATCGCATGCATAGTGTAATAATTATTTATTTTAATTTAACGTATTATTCGTGAATATTCGCGACAAATGAAACAATCAATGTACCCGTTCATTCGTATTGTTGGTGCACCTTTCGCCGTGTATTGTGGGTAACCACTCGCACGTAAAGGTCCGAAGGTCCAAGAAGGGTTTGCCACAAACAACCCTTCGACGCGGCAGATGGTCGATTGAACAAAATCGATCTTCGACTTGATCTATCGAAATCTCGACGTTGTGTCGCTCCGCGGGGTCGCTCGATCTCTCAATGTTATTTTTAACAATTTCCACGTGACGATTGACTGATAAACGTCGAAGGGTTTCGTAATACAGCAGATGTTTTCCTCTAACGCGTTTGCGATGCAATGTTCAATCATCAATTTAGTATATATTTTCGATAAATTAGATAGCTTGAATAGATCCTTAAAGCTTAATCACGATAACGACGATCTAACCATAGAGAAAAAAAGAAAGAATTGCCTGATGATTTCATTGAGTGAAGATCGTTCGATAAAACTCGAAGGGTTTCGTAAACGAGCAGATGCAACTGTATTTGGTTTTTTGAAACTTTTTTGAGTATTTGACTACATCGTCTACCTTTTGATAGACGATATAATTTATTATAATATACAATTGAATTTATGAAAGAAAATATCCGAAAATATATTCTCTACCAAAACAAGAGATAACAAAAAAAGTTCGAAATAGAAATAATCGATTTCTTTTTTGTTTTTTTCTGACAGTGTATCACCTAATGTTATTTTGTTATTTTATCTAAATTCAGTATTAAATTCTCTTTCTTTCTTTCTCCCTATTTTTCTGTTCAGATATATTACATAAATGCGTTAAATAATCTAAAAAACCTGATTTATTGCAATTTAGACTGTGTGATTATCAGAGAATCCTAAACATTATGAATGCATAATAATCATTTTTATAGAATGTTAACTTCTGTAAAGTTAATCGAAAATTTTATCCGAATTTGACTAGTTATTAGCTCAAAATCGCTCAAAAGACTAAGATCACCAATAGAAAATATCCAATCATCATTATCTGTTGTGTTGTCATTATGTGTTGCTTTCTACATCTATTTTATGATTTCTACATATTTCTATATTATCTGCGACCGTCCAAAGTTCGAGCACAGTTTATCGCTATGAATTTCCCGGTAAAACTAAAAATGATAAAAGTGTCCATACTAAAAATAAAAATGAAAAAAACATTGCTCCGAATCCTGCTACAGTACAACGTAAACTTAATACAAATAGATGTTATTTTAAACATCTCAGACTAATCAGAAAATTTATTTGAAGATTGCAATAAAAATAATTGATTTAAATAAAAGTCAAACAATAAAGTTTCTCTTGGAAATTTTCTCTTAAATTTTTGGAATGTTATTATTTAACTTTTTCTCTGAAATAAAGTGATGAGAAGATTTGTTTGAATATTACAATAAAAATAACGTAAATTGATTTAAATCATATTCAAACAATAAAGATTCTCTTGGAAATTTTCTCTTAAATTTTTAGAATATCGTTATTTTACTTTTTTCTGTAAAATAAAAGTGAAATTTTATGCAAAAGAATTTAATGTATTTATCATTTCTGAGTGAATATTATATTTCTTACATTTCTAAGAAAAATGTTAAAGAAAAGAGGAAAAGAGAGAGATGTCAACACTCAAAAAATTTAAAAGAAAATTTTCATGAAAAGGAATTATAATTCTCTATTTGAAAATTAAATCATAATAAGTGCGATAAGCAGTATAGTCATTTATTAGAAAATCTGCAGCGATAATTTCCAAAGTAAATTAACTATCGTTCGAATGGTATAATAAATTAGTCGAAAAGTTAAGCGAAACCGCAAATTAGGCAGCTGAAAGAATGGCGTTGCAATAGAGAACGAGACCAACGATCAATGTGGGCTTAATACGCAATTAATGACCACGGGGTGCGTTGCGCAACCAAGTCGAATGCGATTTTCGTCACGACATACTCTATCCATTCTAATGCATTGTCCACCTACACGTGCTGCATGTCGAGTTAATAATTGAAACCGCAATCACTCACGAGTCACCGAAATCGGGAAAGGGTTGGCGACTCGCATGGGGGTTAAAGGAGCTCGGGTTCATTTCCCTGGTCTCGATTGCAACACGCACCGGCACGAGTCGCCAACAAAGAAGGTAATGATACGGCAGAAACGAAAAACCGGACAACAATGTCCGGTTGCGTAGCGGAAAAAGGTGCGTTCGTGCGTGATTCGTTAATTATTCCAGCGTATTTGCTACGTTATTCAATATATAATTATACATTACAATAATATGTAATGTAAATAATTGACAATAAATTACATTCATTTTGAATGCGGGATTGTTAAAAAATTTATTTATTTTTCTACATTTAAATTTATATTTTTCAAAAGATCGAAATTAGAAAATGTTAGATTTGAACATTTCATAAATTATCAACTTCAGTCTAATCGACGTTTAGAATACGGCAAACCGATTAAATAAAAGCAAAACAAAATTTAGCGATATCCTATCTTGTCGTCTGGCAGAAAACGAAACGATAACGCATAAATGTCGATAAACTGAAGGGAAGAGTTACATTCGTTGTCTATATTAACTACTGCGGCGCGCTTGGACCGGATAATTTTTTTGTTCACGAGACGAACTAATTATTGGTTTTCGTGATTAACGACAATTATAATAATTAGGCAATTTCTCCTAGTGCTTGGCGTGCTTTCGATAATCTCTTATTTCTTCTACTCTGATTATATCGTACTTGCCATTAAATCGCGCGTGTGGTTATAATTAATTATAGCGAATACGAAGTAACAAAATGTGTATGTAACGGCGAATTCTTGAAGAAACTTGGAAAAGAAACAAAGATAAATAAAAATCAATAAAAATAAACAAAAATGAAAAATATACGTGTAATATTATTGATCGCAATAGTGATCTTTATAATCGTGATTTATTATTTTACAGTTTCATTGCTCTACAGTTAGGTAACCCTGTCTTTATATCTTTTTAATGATTGTGATTTCAATTTCTTGTAATGATGAGTAATTTCTGTTTGATAGCTAATTTTATAACAATTAATAATTTTCTAATTATCTATTTTCTAATCTCTCTTTTGAACAAATACAAAAGTTAAATCGATAAAAAAGTAATTCTTTCTTTTTGTAAAAAAATGAAAATATAGGATGATTTTTTTTTGTCATACATTGTGAGAAAAATAATTTCTCTTTCTCTCTTTCTTTCTCTTTCAATGAAAATCAAAAGAAATTCTTTCTGTAATTTTTAGTTGTTATTTTTTTTCATAAAACATTATTACGTAATTTTAACTTCCTATTTTTTTTCATAAAACATTATTTTTATCGTCAGTTAAATATTTGATAAGAACAAATTTTCATAAAATATCAATTATCTAACGGTTCTATGCATGATAAAGGCAAATAAGAATGTCGAATCTTAATTTAAATATAAAGATATTACGCGTATATGTGCGAATTGTAAAGAACAAAATGAGACAAATAATTTCGATAGGTACAACGGCCTATTCACAATCAGTAAGGACGACAGCATCATCTACAGAATTGACTTCACCATCGGAATCGACAATGGAAACAGACGGGATTATAACAACAACGATGAAAGATACAACGACACGTACAACCGAATTCGAAACAACTATAACGATTTCAACCTCGACGATCGCAACAAATGAGCCGACGTCTGTATACGAAATACCATCATCCACTATGCCAATTACTCCATCGAAATCGACAATGGAAACAGACGGGACGACGATTATAACAACGACACGTACAACCGAATTCGAAACAACTATAACGATTTCAACCCCGACGATCGCAACAAATGAGCCGACGTCTATATACGAGATACCACCACCCACTATGCCAATTACTCCCTCGGAATCGACAATGGAAACAGACGGGACGACGATTATAACAACGATGAAAAATACAACGACACGTACAACCGAATTCGAAACAACTATAACGATTTCAACCCCGACGATCGCAACAAATGAGCCGACGTCTGTATACGAAATACCATCACCCACTATGCCAATTACTCCATCGGAATCGACAATGGAAACAGACGAGACGATGATTATAACAACGACACGTACAACCGAATTCGAAACAACTATAACGATTTCAACCCCGACGATCGTAACAAATGAGCCAACGTCTGTATACGAAATATCATCACCCACTCCGACAATTACTCCATCACAAATAACAAGTACAACCGAATCCGAAACAACTATAACGATTTTAATCCCGACGACGATCGCAAATGAGCCGACGTCTGTATATGAAATATCATCATCCACTCAAACAATTACTCCACAAATGACCACAAGTACAACCGAATCCGAAACAACGATTTCAACCCCGATGCCTCCAAAATGCACTAATTGTAAAAAAAATACGACAATAGATTGTATGAAATATATCACTGTCAAATTTGATTATATCCTTAAAGATATTAAGACCGGGATAACGTGCATTCTGACTAACATGATGATCCAAATCAATTTGCTATACGCAATGAAAGACTTTCAGGTAAAATATTAATATTTATTTATCGAAAAAAAACATACTGTCGCGTATTTATAAAGAAACAATTCATGAAAATAGTCGTTGTAGAAAAACCAGGAGATTAGACTTTTTTGTTTCATTGATGTCTTAAAAAGTTTAACGATATATTTAATCATTATTTTATCGAATAATCAAATGCAACATTATATTTTTAGATAGGCAATGTTACATTAATGGTTCCGATGAATGCAAAAATAACGGGTACCTGCAATGAAAAAATAGCCAAGATGACTTTGAGTTGGAAGGAATCTGTCGAGAGTCCAGCAGACGGCGACAATAAAGAAAATAGAATTACTTTTCATTATGCTCACAATGAAACGAAATTTTTCCTCGATTTCATTTCTATCGATGTGCATTTGGATAGCAATAATTTCCCGCGAGCACAAGGTATATCGAAAATCTTTAACTTTTAAACTTTGATATAGATCAACAATTGATATAGATCCTTGTTTATGATATGATATTTAGTATTTGATTATAATTATTTAATATTGTTATTATAATGATTGTAATTATTTAATATTTGATTATATGTTATCCTAATCTTTTTCGTCATCTTATATTTAGATATATCATAAAAGTTTTTTTCAATATTTAACAGAGAAAAAAATGCGTGGGAATACAGCAGACAGACATTTGCAATTATTTTCCGCTTCAATAAATAATGGAGTATTTGTCAGCAAAGTAAATACTACAATAAACATCGGAGATCAAATAGTCGTTGTTATCTCCGATATCCATTTGATTGCATTTAACGAATGCATCCAGAATTGCTGGAAAACAGGTGTATTGTTGTGTATATAGATTATAATATATTGTGACATTCAAAAGGCAATGCTTTTATTAATTGTTTTTAATTAGACTGTTTTTAATTTTGAATGTAATGGTAAAATATTATTTCAGAAACAGATTGCACCGCTGAAACAAATGCTATCAATATGATCGTTGGTGCAATTTTTATTGGTATTATTCTTATTCCTATTCTGATTCTTGGCAAATGGAATTCGAGAAGGACTAACGATAAGTAAGACCTCAAGATACTGCGAACTAATTTTTGTTTTGTTAAAAAATAGTTTTAAAGAAATGTCATATATAATTTTTAAAGACATCGTAGAAAGTGTCAATTGTGTTGACATTAATATTGTATTAATGTCAAAAACATGGTATTAAATTATGTTAAAAAACATGGTATTAAATTATGCTTTTCATTAATCACTTAAAGGGAACAAATAAATAAAAAAATCTATTATTCTCAACATACATCCTATATTCCAAATAATATATTATATATATTATAAATAATATATTCCAATTTAAATATAAATATTTAAATTGTTCGTATCTTATTTTTGGAAATATTTCTGTTACCTGATATTCTGTGAATTGAATTAACGATTGCCAATTCTCGTATGATGAGCCAATAAAAGTTGCATATGGCGTTGGGAAAAAACTGCTCTTTAATTACCAAGCTTTAACAAATAGCTCGAGGTTTTAACTGCCCCTGTATCCGTCACGGTTACGCCCACCCCGATTACCTTGTTATTTGGAAAAAATTGTAACATTAACGGCACCATCTGCACAATCGTGTGAACGTTGATCAATCGGGATGCATCCTATGAAGCATACTCTTCGTATATATTGATTTTAATTTAACCAGCTTGAAGCGAAATCGCATGAAATTATCATGTCAAGTATTATTGTAATATGTACGAGTATAATTGTATTTAAATATTTTATTAATTCGTATAGCGAACTTTGTATTGTAATAATAAAAATTATAGGACCAATAATACGAGCTAATTATTAAGGTCTAAATAAAATAAAAACAAATAGTTATAAATTCGTTTAATTAAATAATCACAAATTTTGTGATTTTAATTAGCTCGTATTATTGACCCTATAATTTTTATTATTGCATTGCAACACACGAGCAGTATTTAGTGTTATTATTGTTTAATTTTCGAACTTTGTATTCTTGTAACGAAAATTACTTGTCACTCACTCATACGAGACCGGAATCATATTTCATACCGATTCCGACAGAAAAAGAGTATCAAACGCTATAGGTACACCCTTCGTTTAGCACCTGGATATCACTTACAACAGATGCTGTAATAAAATTCACGATTATCCGCGTTAATTGATCAAGAGGAATGTTTATTATCGTAAAATGTGCGGGGGATACAATCGTTTTTGTTACCGTGAGAACTATGAGAAGTGAATCGCTCAACTTGATATCAAACATGGGGAAAATCGTTTGCCAAGAATACGTTCTAAAACAAACATTATTATTTATATACGTATACATACACGCATATGTAAAAAATATTTTTAAATTTAGTTTTAATTTCTATATTTTTCCAACCTTCATAAATTTTTTGACATCAATTGATTTACGTTTTTCAAATGTATCTCGAATTTATTACGAAGAATACCTGAGTATTTTAGAAAGCATCAGCTGTTCAGAAGCCGTCCTTTTAAAATTTAAAGATCCTGTAAAGCTTATTATGTACCTTGTCGCTCAAGCTGAGCCTTTACGACATCGCGCAGACAGTAGACTGGAAAATATCCTGATATCATTTATAACGTAGATATTTACAAAAATGAACAGGAGATCTTGAAAATCTTTTGTGAGATAGCAAATGTTATCTTTATTGCATTCTACCAATCACACATTAGGTATGATTTATCTGTCGTGATAAACATATAAATATAAATATTGCGTAAAAAATATTGCAGTGTCATTTTAAACACATTTAGAATAATAATGTAATTTTAAGCATGCGTGGAATCTTGAATTATAGCAAATGTATTTACTATTTACAAAATCACTACAATTCTATTATTGGGAAGTATAAATTATAAGATATATATATATATATATATATATATATATATATATATATGTATAGAGAAAAAGAGAGAGAGAGGGAAATGAATATTTATACATATGTAAATATTCTCTCTCTCTCTCTTTCTCTTATTTCTCTTTCTTTCTCTTTTCTTTCATTGTTTTGCACAATTGTATTTTTGTATAAAATTGCACTTGGCTGATCATTATGATACGCATTATTGTCCGTAAATCGAACTAATGTTAACCGAGAAGTGCGGATGCTAAATGAGTATTATTTACTTTCAAGTTCCGGCCGATCCTTTTCCTTCGAGTTAAGTAGAGAGCATCCTAAAACTAATAAATCTCGAGGGCCTAAAAGACCAGGCGCGCGTGCCAGAAGAACAAGCCACGTGGCTTACTGTTCCTTCCAAAAAACAATTTATTTAACCAAAGATAACCGATTCGTTTTCTCTCAAAATCCTGACGATATTTACTAAACAATTTGTTTGTTTAACTGGCTCGTTTAAATAGTTTTACTTCTTCCTTATTCTTTCAAAATTTCATGACATTTACTTAAAAATACATCATCACTTTTCTTTTGAAGTAAAAAAATCTGAAAATTTCTGCTGGGAAATGATAAACAAATCCCTTCTCCTTTAACGTAAAAGGAGAAGGATTATATCTGAATACATTTATAAATTTAATTATAAGTTTAATTCTGCAATAAAATAGAAAGTGTCCAGCATTTCTTTTTAAGAGTACACACAAAATGTTTTCTTTAATAAACGCGGAAAGCCCCAAAAATTTTTCATTGCGCTATATTTAAATTAGCTATAAATACGTCATCGTATTCACAAAAATGCGTTTCCTTGTTTCTTAAAATCATTTTTTTCCTTGTTGCATCGAGAGCAAACACCTGTCACAGTATCTCAATTATTGTCACGCGAAGTGTATAGTTTTAAGCAGCTCCCATTGGACCAGTCAATCTGCTTGTCTTGCGAGCAAAGAAAAAAGGAGAAAATACATATATATGCCAAGCGGAGTTGCTAAGGCTCCTGTCTTCTCATCTCTCTCTATCGTCCTCGAAAAGTTACGGCGGCCACGAGACGTCTTGGAAGTATGAGGGCGCAGATGGGATTGTGTTTAATGAAGTTAGGCCCGAGTTGCACCTGCCACTTTCGAGGCATCTCGGACCAACGGCCGTTACACCGCCTCGAGCACCCGTCGAGAAATTGGCGGGAATCGCGTTCCCAGGAGTCTGTGAGACTTATCTGTGACAACGGTTATTCCGACTTTTTTCCGTCTCAGACCTATCGTTAAAATGCACACACGTTGTAATCGCGGGCCGCAGCGAGCGGACGCGCGGTTCAACGCGGCGGAAAAAATTCGTGCAAGGTTTGTTTTTTCGTCTTGTTTCCGCAGTCAAGAAATATGTATATACGATCTGTTAAATGATCGTTAAACGATATGTTAAATGATTTAAAATATTTCACAACTTCGAGCATAAAAATTTTGATAGTTTTTTTGGAAATATTATTAAAATTAATCATTGGCATAACTTTGTTCATCTGCTTCTTGATGTATAAGAAATATATGTACTCATTACAAATATTGCGCCAATAATTCTTTTTTCGTTTTTAAATTTTATATTTTGATTATATATCTTTCTTATTTGCACATCTTTTAATTTAAAGTATCAAGATAACTTTTTTACAATTAATATCGATAGAGGCCGTAAAACTATCCTAAAGATCGAATTACTTTGTGCCCACACGACAAGATGGTTCCTCCTTGAACCATAGTTTTTTTTCTCACTCAAAGGGACGTGTTCTTCCTGTTCCTGTTTCGACCGTAGAAATATGAGAACTTGGTTACGCTAAAATGATGAGAGAAACGGGGATCTTTCGTGACAGCAATTTAATTATTCCCGACATCTGGTACATATTGGAGCGTTAACCTTTGAATATAAACCTTACAGCTTTTCGAGAATTCATTGCTTTTTCTTCACGTGTAAATAAATAATTAAAACGTAAAAAAATGTAAAGAATTAGAATCGCAAATTAATATTTTAAAATTAAATTGTTGTTTTCGTTTAAAAATTTTAAATATTTTTTTTTAAGTAATTCTCTTATTTTTGAGGCAAGAATTTTAGTTTTCAAAAATTATGACGTTTCAAAAATTGTGACTCGATATGTGCAAAGAAACTACGAAACATCCCACTTCTATTTTACAATTCAATTACTTTCAGTTATCTAGCTATTCTATCTGGTCAGCATAACTGAGCAGCGTGGGTGGGATTTTTCCTTTTTTCACCCATGAATTTTACTTACTTTTTAAAACTTACTAGCCAACACTTTATGAAAATAATTAAAATTTTTGCATAGGACAAATCCTATCAAAAGTATTTAGTATAAATGCTAAATATATTGCTAAATAATTAAGGACAAATTTTTAATTGATAAAAGTTAATTTGAATACGAATTTATAAGATAATCTAATCCCATCGTATTTCATTGTCTCCAGTGACTACTGTTAAAAAGTTCATTGAAAGCATGTAGAACGTAGGATACTAGGATCTTTAAATATTCACGATTCAGGATCTCCTCTTATTGAGCGAAACAGCTGTTCCACCCTCTCCAACGGGGGCAGCGGGAGATCTGCTGGCATTCAGACTATCTGAACGAAAAATCGCGCGGAGGTGGAGGCTTCGAAAGGTCGACGGTAAATGTAGGTACGAGCAGCTGGATCGGCGGAGATTCGTAAAGCTCGTCGTCACGCCTTCCTCCCGCATTGTTCAAGTCTTGTTAGTACGTTTTTTCTCCTTTCTCTTCCCTACCGCACGAATCTAACTTCCCGAAGCACCCCTAATATCTGTTTGAGCTCGGGATTCGTAAAAACCGCGCAATTATCATTCACATTCATTATACAATACAAGGACGACATAAAAAAAAAGCACCAGAGTATTCGTATTATTTGATCACCAGCATCTCTTTTCCAAAATATATGCCACTATTTATTAAGATTTATTATGATTTTCTCTCTCCAACTATTATTTGTTGCATAAAAATTAATAATAAATATTAATATATATAATAATAAATATAATTCTTAATAAATAGTGAAATATTATTACATTTACTTGTGTTGCAGAAATGTATTATCACAATCAAATTTCTTTTCACCATGAATAATACA